CCCAGTTTTTCCCCTCCCCTCTTTCATCCCTTCCCCGCCTCTTTAGCAAAAGGTGCCAGAAAGTTTTTGGACACAATTTGCTGAGCTTACAGTGACAGACAGGTAAGGGACGGCAAACTATTCTGATACCTTTGGCTTGTTGAACAAAAAGTGGACAGTGATGTGGCTTTTAAAGAACATTTATTTATTATGTGCAGCAAGTAAGCAACCTATGAATTTGAAGAACCTTCCCCCCATATTAACTTCTTTATCACTTTGAAACCTTAGGCCACACCATGAAAAACTAGCTAATCTTGCCTCCCTCTCTAAATTAATTCTTCCTTCAAGCAGGAATTGAATGCATTGTAATAAAAGAGAAATTCAGTGTTCTGGATGCATTAGAATGGCAGGAATATATGGCACTCAAAACTTGTAATTCTTGTTGTTTCCTTGTCTTATTTACATTGCAAAAAATATTTTGCCCTTTTCTCTTTCAGGGTGCATGAATTTCTTTTAATTAGAGCAATGTTCCCATTTTATAGACTTAATTCGGGTGCCTGTTGGTCACCTGAGTCTAGCATTTCCAGGACAATATTAGCATCCATCTCTAGTGTTCTAGAGCTTGCCAGAATTGATCTGTCTCTGGTCACAGCAAGCTTTGATTGCTGTAATGCACTTCATGGAAAACTGCCTTTGAGGAACGCTCAGGAACGTAAACCAATACAGAATACAGCCACAGGGCTGTTGTTGGGAATATATTATAATGAACGTAGTACCTCTGTGCTGCGAGTAGGGTTCCAGCTGCTGGTAGAGGCAATACTGGTAGATTTTGGGAGGCAGTTCCAGATGACAGTGGAGTTTGGGATAGATGTGATATAATTTTTGGGTGATTGGGTTTCCCCCAGTCTCTATGACTAGAGGAAATTCCTAGAGCATCATGATGGAGGCCATTTTTTCTCCTGTTCCTCAGTTTCTCAAGGGTGGGATATTGGAGCTGGGCCTAGGCAGTTTCCTGCCAGGCCTGGGCAATTGGGAAGCCTAGTTACAACTTATATATTGGGTTCTAGTTTTCCAGGCACAACTCAAAAGTGCTGGATTTGTTCTGTGAATCTATAAATAATCCGGCCTCAAGCTTGCTGAAGGACTGCCTGCTCCATGGGATTGCCATGTTCTTGCTTGGGGGCGGGAGATCTCCTGCCCCCTGTGGCCATTGCTTGCCAGCACTCCAATAGCTGGTGGGAGGGGAAAAAAAATTAAAACATCACTGTCAGTGGCATCAATCCTTTCTAGGAGTTGCCAGGAATTCTCCCCTCCCCCAGTCTCCAAAGGTTAGGGAGGTGGTGTCCAGTGATGGGCTTTTTGGGTGTGATGCCACACTGCCTTAGGATGTTCAGTCTGTTCTGTTTCTTTCATTGATAGGTTTTTGAAAAATATTTTTAATTGGTTGCTTGCCACTCTAAGCAATTCTTTTGGCATAAAAGCAGGCCAAAAATAATGCTGGAGAGATGCATGTGCATGTGTTGAATAATGGAGCCTCTTGCTATTGGCTCTATGGATCAGTGACAGAGCAAATGTTTTGCTTGCAGAAGGTCCCAGTTTCAATCCTTGTCTTCTGCTATTCAGAGTTCTCTGGTAGCACCGCCAGGAAGGGGCCCCTCTAGTTAAGACCCTGAAAAAATGTCTACCAGTCAGTTCACCCAATAAATCCAGAGGTATGTTGAACTTACAGTTGAACATTATTCTCTACTAGCTATACGCAAGAAAGAAAAGGGGATTTAATTAATATTAGTAGACATAACAGTAGAAGTAGTAAAACAAATCCAGGTACCTTAAAGTACAAGTGGTGGTTATTCCCCCTCGCAGTCCAATCACCTAACCTAGATGTAATTTCACATATTTGCATGAAGTAGAGGAGACAGGCATTGAGTGTGAAATTAGAATACATTGGTCAGTAAACCCTTGTTTCAAGAGAAAATGTTCAATACTGCTCTTAGTTTCTGCTTTAATTTGAAGTTTTAGAGGATCAATTAATAAATAAAGCCTGGCGGAAGTTCCAAATAAAGCTTGGCAGAAATTCCAGTTCATGTGGATTTTCTTTCTCCATGGAACTGTTAAGAAGTCTGTTTTTGCCAAATTGCTGTGCTGTACAGTGGAGCCCCATTAAAGATTGATTTTATTTGTGGCCTTTTTAAAAATTGCCTTACTCCCAGTCAGGGACTCAAGGCAAGTTATAATGTTAGTTAAGTAATCCATTTGGGTACCTATTTGTTGTTACGAAAGCTCATCGGAACAAAGTCTGAAAGATAGGCAAGGGGGGCTTTTTAGCCGTCAGGGAGCCATTCTACTAGGTAGGGAGTTGCTGCAGAAAACATCTTGAAGTTGGCATTAGCTGCCTTCTGCTGGTCTGCAAGATACAGGAGCTCTTTTTAGGTCAGGAATTTGCGAGTTTTTCCTCGAGGATACATGGCATTCATATTTGTAGCCATGTTCTTTCCCCCCTTTAAATTAAATTTATAAGCTTCAGTTTTTTAGGACCTTGGAGCTTTATGAAATTGTTTAAAATTCTTACATCTCACGAATGAAGCTGCAAGAACTGACAGCGCGGTCCTGTGCAGAGTTACTCCAATGTAAGCCTGTGGAAATCAGTGGACATACTTGAGTAACTTTGCATAGGATTGTGTGTGTTATGTGCTGTCAGGTTACTTCCCACTTATGATGACCCTATGAGTTCATGACCTCCAAAACACCCTGCCATTGACGGCCTTGCTTGGGGCTTGCGAACGGAAGGCCATAGGCTCAATCCATCTCATACTGGATCTTCCTCTACTACCTTCAGATTTTCCTAGCATTATTATCTTTTCCAGTGAATCTTGTCTTCTCATTATATGACTGGAACATATGAGGGAATTTCAGATTAAAATCAAAACATTTGACAGTGCAGACCATGAAAGGCTATGGACAGTTTTAAAAGAAATGGGTGTGCCACAGCATCTGATTGTTTTGATGCACAACTTGTTCTCTGGACGAGAGGCTAATGTTAGGACAGACTGTGGGGAAACCGAATGGTTTCCAGTTGGCTGAGGTGTCAGACAAGAGTGTATATTATCTCCTTAGCGGTTCAATCCATGTGCAGAACACAGAAGGAAAGACTGCACTCTTAATATTCTTGCTATTCTTGCACAAGTGTGCCTTACTTTGTGCTCTCGTTTGCATTCCTTTTGGAGAAAATTGACTTCAGGGCTCATGTGCATTTTTGCCTGCCCTTTTCATCTAGCTGATGAGCTCAGGCTTGACTTTGTGGTTTTTGAGGAAGGGATTCTTTGCTGTAATAATCTGGACAAATTGCATTTTTATTCCTCCCCCCCCCCCTTCTTGGAACGTGTCGACTTAGGTTTGAAGTGCCTTAGAATTTTTATTCCACAATCTGACTTTTTAAATGAGATACAAAACCCTTTTTGATTGTTCGAAGCATATTAAAGGCTGTCAGCTATTGACCCCGAGGGGAAACCTGGCTCCCTAGAAACTGCTGTAGGTGACTTTGAAGGCTGTACACTTTAAATTAATGCGAAGGGTGCTTGTTTATTTCTTGTATTTGATAAGCAATCTCAAAGGGCAGAGATGTGAAGTGAATTGAGGTTGTAACTAGCTGGTCTAACAAAAGATATTGCTGTAACCTGCTTGGTATCTCATAACTGTTGGCTCAATGTGTTGGCAGTAGTTTAGCTGATAAGGTTCTCAAGGTTTCTAGCATAGTTGTTTATCCCTTAACATGACTGCTGATTGTCTTCTGTTGCCCAACTCTGCACAAGACAGAATGGTTTATACATGGATTCTGGAAGAAACAAAAGCCTTTTAGGATAGGTGATTACTCCAGTTTGTTGTTGGCTTGACATGGTGGCATGGTAGGACATACCTTCAGTTATACTTTTACTTGGCAGAAGAAGAGAAGGCCGAGGTTACGTTAAAAGATCTACTGTTTTCTAAGGGAGTTGAAAGTATATGAGACTTTGACCACCAACTTTTGTTATGATTGAACCAGATTGCTGAGGTGGTAATGGTGGGAACCCTGTGGTATGGATTTTGGTGGGTCAGAGTTATTTAATTCTATAGTTCTGACATCACAAGATGTGAGGAGAGGCAGTGTGGTATAGTGGTTAAGAGCAGTGGACTCTAATAGGGAGAACCTGGTTTGATTCCTCTCTTCCACATGAAGCCTGCTGGGTGACCTTGGGTGAGTCACAGTTCTCTCAGAACTCTCTCAGCCTCACGTGCTTCACAGGGTGACTGTTGTGGGGAGAGGAAGGGGGTTGTAAGCTGCTTTGAGACTCCTTAAGGTAGAGAAAAGCAGGGTATAAAAAACCCAGCCTTCTTCTTCTAAGATATCAGAGGCGGTTAGTTCCGTAGAGTGTACCTGAAAACAACTTCATGTCAAAAGCTCACTCTTGACACATTTTTCCCAGCAAGGGCAGAAATGTGAAATCTTAATCAATCTTAATAAGTAATATTTTATTCAAAAAATCTCACAGTGCATCAAAGAAATCGTAGGAATGGCCCACTCCAGTAATGTGTCATTTGCGGATGTACTAAATGAAATCCCTTTTCCGTGAACTTATCTGTAAGAATTCTTGTGTCTGTAAGGTTTTAAGAATATTCTGTTAATTTTCTGATGAAAACAGGCATTTTGGCAATCAAAAGGGGCCTCCTTGCTGAAAGGTGATTAGATTAGGTTAGAGTCTGCTGCTCTTAATCAATACACCATGCTTGCTCTCAAGTGAAGGGGAGCTGCTAACTTTTTTGGGGGGGGGAGTTTTAAACTTGGTTGAAACGGTTTCTCTACCAGCTCCAATTAGTCATTCTAATGAACGTGTTTTCATCTGCGTGTGCTTGCATTTGTTTTGTCTGAACTACTTTTAAAATGCAGGTAATATCTCAATGCAATCCCAGGATAATTATGGCTACCCAATTTTGTTGAGTGCAGTGACTGTGATATGCTGATTCTCCTGTCTCTCATTTTTTAACAGAAACCTGAGCCACAACAAGTTGACAGAGATTGATCCTTCTGCCTTCTCTGGGCTGCTGAACCTGCAGGAGGTGTAAGTATTTCTCTGAAGAGCACTTGAGTCTCTGTCCCTTGTCGTCCCCCCCCCCTTCCAATCTGGCCAAGAAGACGAAAGGAAAAACGTATATAGTTTCCCATTACATGCTTCCATTGTACCATTCGCTTGCGTCAGCTGATTGAATCTGAGCTATTGTTTTTCTTTCACAGAGCACCTGTGTGCTGTCTTTCTGTGTCTCTTTTTTAAAATTAAGCAGTCAATTAGTAGAACATAACATCTCAATTAAACTGCAGCACAGTTATTGGAAATCTTTGGTGTTTGCTCCTTTTATCCCTGTCTCTCTGCGCTTCATGTTAGGATTAGCAAGAGTAGTTCAGGTAACCACACCTGGCAACGAGGATGCGTTTTTCTCCATCAAGGCAGAATGCACTTGGTTGTGACATCTGATGCTAGGCTGCCCCAAATCTCCCAGGAAACTCCCAGTGTAGTGTATTATGCAACAGAATACTTAATTCATTCTCCTCCTACCTTTTGTTTGCTGGCCTGAGAGGCAAGTTGGGAGATTTTTGCTCTGGCAGTGTGAGCAAAGATTGGGAAGCAATTGTTGTGGTTAGGGGAGCTAGTACAACCCCCTCCCCATAGTTACGGATTAAAAAAAAAATTTTTTTTTTAAAGTATTCCAAGCCAGAGGTCTCCATACATTTCTCTCAGTACTTCAGCTGTAGCATATTGTATTGAGAAATTTCATTGGTTATCCTCCTCATAGTAACTCCCCTAAAAACCACTGACCCCACTGTTGATAGGAGTTTCTTGAGTTCTTCTGTAACATTTTCAGAATCTTCATGTAATTCCCAATATCCTGTTATGCAGGATTGTGATGTGAAATGGAACCCCAGGAGGGCCTATGTAGATGTCTGGGGTCATCAGAGGAGGGGGCACAGCTTTGACCCAGTGGTACCCCTGCCCTTTAATTTCTTCACTGTGCACTGCCTTTTATTCCAGTGGTAACCCAGTTGCAGAGAGGGGAGCAGTAAAGGCTCCCTTGTTATAGAGAACAGAGATGTATTATAACTTGCTCAGGATCCTTGCAGTGCACAAACTTTTCCCTTGCTCACCTCCTACGTGTCATAAGTGTGAGCATTGAGCAGGCACAAGACAAAATGAGGACAGTGTCTTCTTAGAGTGGTGGACTGTGAGTAGTAATTCTTATTGCAAACTTAACCTGATTTCATGATTATGTTTGATTCTATTAAGAGCGGCCTGTGTCTTGTAGAGAGATTAAAACCAGGGGCTGTGTTAATAAATTTATTGTGTTCCTTTATTTTTTTGTGTTTTTTAATTACTCTGTTTCTTCCCTCCTCTTGGACCTCAAGGTGGCATACAAAAAAAAGAAAAAAAGAAAAGAAAGAAAAAAGACTAACAACAGCAATCATAATTATATTTATGGGCCAATAAATGTAATTTTACCCCTTCAGCTACTCTTCTAAAAATCTGTCTCTGAGGTCCACCGTCATGTGCTAGGGTCTGATTTGGCTAAAGCATCCTGAACTCTTACAGAGATAGTCAGGGGTGGAGCACCACTCTATTTCAGCTCTTAGCTCTACTGCCTTCTGAGCTGGGGCCCTAAGCTGGTACATCTTCCTCGGCCTCCTCCCTCCAGCCTTTTAAAGGCCCTAGTCCTATCTGGGGCAGGCCCTGTGGCCTCCCTCTACCTAGAAGCTCCATGAAGGTGTGGCCAAGCCCATAAGGGACCAAAGGCTGCCTTGGAGCTATCTCTCCCGTGCTTCTATCCTTTGTCATCCCCAGGGTGGAGCCACCAGAGAGCTGATTGTGAGATAGTTGGTGGTTAATGGGCCAGTTATCCCTAATCAACTGGCTGGCATTAGATCTTTACAGGATGCGCCCATGGTCCAACTGGACCTGGTATGCTGGGTTTGATGCTGTGGGTTGCCAAGAGAGAAATAGGTCTGATTCGTTCCCCTCATCCCTCAGATAATCCTGTTTTGTTGGGCTTCCAATGTTGTTTCTTTCGAAGAACATAAGAAGAGCCCTGCTGGATTAGACCAAATAGTCCCATCTAGTACAGCATCCTGTCTCACACAGTGACCAACCAGTTCCTCTGGACAGCCCACAACAGGGCATAGAGGTCGAGGCCTTCCCCTCATGTTGCCTTCTGGCTCTGGAATTCAGAGGCTTAGTGCCTCTGAATGTGGAGGTTCCCCTCAGTCACCATGGCTAGTAGCCATTGATAGACTTGTCCCCCATGAATCTGTCTTTTAAAGCTGTTTATTCCTGTGGCCATCACCGCATCCTCTGGCAGTGAATTCTGCATTTTAGTCACTCTCTGTGTAAAGCAGTATTTTATTTTGTCTGTCCTGAATCTATTGCCCATCAGCTTCATTTGATGTTCTCAAGTTGTAGTATTTTGGGAAAGGGAGAAATTTTTTCTTTGTCAAGTCTCTATCCCAATGTATAATTTTATAAACCTCTATTGTGTCCTCCCCCAGTCATCTCTTTTCTAAACTGAAAAGTCCCAGACTCTTCACCCTTTCCTCACAGGGAAGGTTCACCAACCCCCTAATCATCTTTGTTGCCCTCCTGTGTACTTTTTCCAGCTCTGAAAAGTTACTGTACTGAAGATTACTGTTAGTTGATGTGACTTAGGGGAGCTTACTTTTTTTCTCATGGGAAGGGGCTATTAGAGAAAGTTTTGTATGTCATAAGTCCCAGTTAGAAAAAGGTGAAGGCATCAGGAAAAGAGGAAGACCCAACATGAGATGTATTGACTCAGTCAAGGAAGCCACAGCCCTCAGTTTGCAAGATCTGAGCGAGGCTGTTAAAAACATTTTGGAAATCATTAATTCATAGGGTCCCCATAAGTCAGAAGTGACAAGTCCCAGGTTCTGTCCCTGGCATCTACAGTGACAGGCAGTATTGGGAGAGGCTCTTCTGTGCCCGAGGTCATGGAGAGTCATTTCTCGTCGGACCGGACTGTACTGAGTTAGATAGACCACTAGTCTGGCTGTGTTTGAGGCAGCTTAGTCTGTGCATATATATTCCATTTGCCCACCTGAGATCTCACAGGGTTTTTGATCAGGACAGAGGGACAGCATTCAGGTGACCTGCCTATTATTAAAAGTGGAAAGAACTTTCAGTCCCATCCTATGAGAGCATTTGGACTGTACTCGCCAAACGTTAAATGATCTGCATTTGGTAATTTCATTTATTGGCCAAAATAAAAAAAAGTGACCCAAAATCTCAGTTTTGTCTTGGGTTTTTTTGAAGGCAAGAACCAGTAGTCAGTGTGCTGGGTCAATTGCTTCTGCACCTGGTCGTTTAAAAATAAATAATAAAAGTGAGTACTAGTTATAGCAACTGTGACTGGAAGCTCTCTTTCTAACCCTTTGATCTCACTATTCTGTGTGGTAAGAAGGGGAGGTGGGAGAGCTACTCAGTATAAAATATTTACAGCCCATTTGCCTGCGAATGTCATGCTGAAATGGATCCTGCTCAAAAATAGCACAGTTCTCTTGAGGATTCACTGAAAGGCACTTAGGGTTTTTTTCCCCTACTTTTTTTTTTTGCAAAATGGGAGATGTTTGGGAAAAGAGCCTTACTCAATTTACCATTCTCTCATTTCATGCAAAAACAATAGCAGAATATCAAATGCGTTTCATGATGTACAATCATCTTCTTTTCAAGTTACAAAACAGGAATAGAAAACGGGAGCAGGGCTTTTTTAGGCTAGAGCTATAATTTAGGGAGCCACTGGACAATGGCACCCCGTGTTCAGTTCTCCCTCCAACCCACAATGTTCAGAATCACCTCTCTGCATCGTGATAGTTGTCACATTGCAACTGCACCATTCACTGCCGATTGTAACATGGGGTTAATCGTTGTAAATGTTACAGAGACTAGTGAAAGAACTCTACACGGGGATGCAGTTTTTAGTTTTCAGGTGTTATGCCTACCATATAGTTATAATTTTGCAAAGCTAATGCAATTGCACCTGCTTGCTTTACCTTACCTGTAGCTGTAGTAGCACTTTCTGTAGCCTCATATGAGATCATTTTTGGCAGTCCTTCATAATAAAAAGAATGAGATGTGATCAGTATATATTTGTTATGACAGTGAGCTGGGGCATTACAGCAGTAAAAAGCATTGCAGAAATTGCCAAGATAATAGAGGTTGTGGGGCTCATAGGAAAAACTTTATGTAATGTGCAAACCAAACTAGAAAGATGTCTTTGTGTTATATTCAGGTTTTCATTACCGTTGTTAAAAACATAACCACTGTTAAAATTTTATTGCAGATAAAGTAAGAATGGATTCTAATAAATCCTAAAGGTCCTTATTATGAAGAAAACTAATAAAATAATAAAGCTATGCTAATGTAGATACTTTGTGGAAAGTGTAAAGATGGAGAAGACTTCTACACCCCAAGAGTAACAATATCTGTGCCCAAACCTGGATAGCCCAGGCAAGCCCAGTTTCATTAGATCTTGGAAGCTAAGCAGGGCTGACCCTGGCAAGTATATGATTGGGAGACCTCCAAAGAATATCAGGGCCGGGAGGCAGAGGCAGACTGCATGTCCTTTATGCCTCAGTAGGAGTCGCCAGAGGTCACCATGTCTTTTAGGCACAGGCACACACGCACACACAAAAGCAAAAAAGGAATAACAGTATCTGCAATAGGCTAATAAATGTGTTTTAATGTATCATACTAAAGTACATGCTGGGAGGTAGGTCACTTCATGTTTGGCTGAGATCCTGAGAACATCCAGTAGAGACCCTCAAGTTGAAAGTGCTTCTCTTGACACCTTTTTTTAAATGTAGACACACTTAAATAACATTTATTTCATTTGTTACATATCTAGAATAATAAATTGTATGGCATGTTACTCAATTTAAAATGTTTGACTTGGATCCACCAGAGCATTTCTGTGGATTGAATGATTTCTGTCAGCGGAGCACAACTTTTATCTCCCCTCCCCTTCCACTGTAGTCCAAAATGCGCCCCCCATGCTGTTCCTCTTGGACACGGGATCCCCAGGAATGGCATTTTGGGCTGCAGCTGGAGTAGAGAGGTGAGAAAGTTGCACTAATTAATTAATAATTAATGTAGTATAATGTAGTAAAGCTAGGAGATCTGAAAATTATCTGGCAGTCTTAAGTTCTAGCTCATTAGTGTCATGCACCACCAGGTGGTGAGTGACACTTTTTTTGGGCTGAGAGAGCTGTGACTGACCCAAGGTCACCCAGCTGACTTCATGTGGAGGAGTGCGAAATTGAACCCAGTTCTCCAGGTTAGAGTCCGTTTCTCTTAACCACTACACAACTCTGGCTCTTAAAGTTGCACTGTGCATAGAAGTCTGTCTGGATGTGCAGTGGTGGATACAATCCAGCCAGTTAAGTTGCTCTCGAGATTGATGGGTGGAGACACAAACCCAGAATTTTCCCCAACTCAGCTCTTCCTTTCTTGCCATCAACAGTTTATTTTTGTATGTATCCTGTCTTTTCCTGAATGAGCTCAAAGCATTTCATGAAAAGGTATCCAATGGTATCCATAGCAATAGTAAAACAATCAACTGTAAAAAGAACCCCACAGCAGTATCATTTAATCCACTCACAGCCCACCAGTCACTGAGGTTCTGTGGGAACACTAAGGTACAGTGTCTTCACACCTTGACCTTTTTCATCAGAATGATTTCAGAAATTTTTCATATTGCTAGAATATGTTATTGGAACTAAACATTCACAGGTATGCATATCGTGCAGGCAACTTCTTACTGGCTTGATGCTGGTTATTTTCTGCCATATACCCTGTTTCCCCGAAAATAAGACCTACCCTAAAAATAAGCCCTAGCAGGATTTCTATGCATTTGTGGTATAAGCCCTAGTGTGTCTTCTTGAGAAAAAATAAATATAAGACAGTGTCTTATTATCGGGGAAACACGGTATATGAATTATACTAGATAAATGTTTACATTTAGATAAATGTATAAGTTATTGCTTATACTGTACCATTTTTTAAACTGAAGAGTGTCTGGCATCTGAAGATTTTTCTAGAGTTTTACTTCATTTTCTTTCTCCTTCACACTCCTCCTTTTGGGATATCACAAGCAGTAGAAAAACAAAATGGCTTTTAAGCTAGGTGTCCCCCCAAAAAAAACATAAAGGGTTTTATCTGTGAGACCCAATCATACATTTCTTTGCTAGACTTAGAAACCACTGTCGCATCCTGAAGCAGGAAGAAACCATCTTTTGTTCTTACATTTTTTGGGTTTTCATTTGCTGGTTGAGAGGGTGAAGGGCACACAAGAAGGCACACAGGAAACCAGGGAGTTTTCAAGCTGCCAGACAGGCAACTGTTATTATGGTAATTAATTGGCTAATTCAGCATACAAACAAGGGCTCTTCAAACCAGGAAGGGAGCCTGTTAAGTGACCCAGATCTGCTTTCACTCAGTGAGAGAATTCAAACATTCTGCCACTGAGAGGGATGTACTTCTGTCTCTGATAGCAGAGCCCCTATAATGGGAAGAAGGGGAGCTGCTACACAACTGCCTGTTTATTTGTGCTCCTTGGAAGGGGTCATATATACTAGTGTCCGAGTGTGTTCCCTGGGCATTTCTTTTAAGTTGTCTAGTTTGGGTCTGGTTTGAATGCGAGGGCTTTAGAGCATTT